GGAAAGTGCGCCGCAGTGTTCGTACGGCGCGCGCGCGCTGCGCCGGCGCCTGCGCCGCGCGCAGGTGATAGAGCGGTGGCGAATGGCCGCTCACGCGCGAGGGGGCGCGCTGATGCCCAGTGGCTCCCACGGGCACGCGTGCGCGCGTTCCGAGGCCAGGCCCTCGCGCGTTGCCTGGCCTCACTTCTGCGTCGCTTCTTTGTCATGAAGGTTCCGCGTGTCTCGCTTCGCAAGGGTGTCGCCGCTTGCGCGCGCGTTTCAGCTTGGGCGCGGCGCGCGACAAGGGCCCGCGTGGGCGCGCGGCGCAGGGGCGCGCGCGGCAACAATTTCTTTCGCGGGTCACTGCGACCGAGGTCTTCATGCCGTCTTTTCTGCCAGCGCCGCCGCGGCCGCCGGGTCGCGTGCCGGCGCCGCCGCCGCCGCCCAAGCGGCAGAAGACGGCGCGCGACGTGCCGCCGCGGCGGGCGCCACCAGGGGCTCTCGCCTGCACGGCGAGCGGGCGCGCGCGCGCGCGTGGGCGCGTCCCCGCCGTCGCCATTTCGCGGCAGGTGTGGGCGGCGAACGGCGGCAGGCTGCCGGAGCCGCCCAGCCCGCCAGTGCAGGCAGGAGCGCCCGTGCGTTTCGAGTGCGCGCGAACCCTCCGGCGCGCGTCAGGTCGAGCTGGCGAATGGCCCGCGCGTCAAGGCGCCGCCGCCACCGCCGCCGGCATTCTGTCCTTCGCTCCAGGGCTGCGCGGCGGCATCCGTGGCGGTAGCTGACCAGCGCGAAATTGTTTTTCGCGCAGTCTGCTACAAAGAAGCCAGTTCCTGGCTGCGCGGGCGCACCCTTGGCGCCCGATTTGCGCGCCGCCGTCGCATGGATGCGCGCGCGTTCACCTGGTTCGGTCATGCGCGAACGTGAGGCGCACGTGCGCCGCATCGAGGCGCGCGGCCGCCAGCTTGCAAGTAGCGGCGCTGTGCGACCCGCAAGTGCGCCAAGTCTCGGCCCGCGTGAACGGCCCGCTCCTCGAAGAGTTGGTGGCCAGGGCCGAGCGCCCAGATGCCGAGTGTGCCGAGGTCTTTCGTTCGGGTGCGCCAATTGTCGGCAAACTGGCCCGCGCAGGTATCGGTGAAGACATCGCGCAGGGCGAGGTGTGCGATTTTGAAGCCCTTTTCGGACGGGCGCGCGAAGCAAACCTGGACACCCTGCGCTCGCTGCGCGAAGACCCGCACGAGGAGAGCTTAATGCAGAAGGCGTTCGGCGAGGTGGCCTCTGGCAGGACCTCGGCGCCGAAGGTGCTCGATCGCGCTGCCCTCGGCGGGGCAATTATCTCTCCGCTTTTTGGCGTATCCCAAGTCCGCGAGAACGGCGAAATAAAAGTTCGCCCCGTGGATGACCTCTCGCGATCAGGGGTCAATTCGGCGTGTTCCTTGCCCGAACGCGTAAAGCACGATGCAATCGATCATTTGCACGCGTTGTGCGCCGCGCTGGCGAGCGGCGGTGGCGGCGAAGGTCTCGCTTTGTTTAAAGCGGACGTTGATTCTGCATATCGTCGCATCCCGCCCACGCCGAAGGACAGGCGCGCGGCCAGAGTGGCATGGTTGTACAAAGGCGAATGCATGGTGGCCGATCACTTGGCGCTCCCGTTCGGAGGTCGGGGCAGCGGCTGCGGCTGGGAACGGATCGGCGCGGCCCTCGTGTCTATCTTGCGGCGCCTTGTGTTCATTCCGCTCCTGCGCTTCGTCGACGATAAATTCTCGGCATGCTACCGTGAAAGCGCGCAGCTCGCTATGTCGTGCGTGGCGCGCGCGATTCGCGCAATCCTGGGGCCGTCGGCAATTGCCGGCGCCAAGCTGGAGTGCGCCGCGTCGGTTGTCGTCCTGGGCGTCCAGGTCGACTTGTCGAGCGCCGGGATGCATTGCGTACCCTCCGCGGATAAGGTCTCGAAGAGGCGCGCGGCCCTGCGGCAGGCGCGCGCGCGGCATGCTGGCGCCAGGGCAGGCAGCCAAGCTTGCGGGCGGCTTGTCCTGGGGCGCCACTCACATGTTTCACCGCCTCGGCCGTGCGATCCCGCGCCCGCTGTTCAAGCAGAGTCACGCGTATTCAGCGCGATGCAGTCCCGACGTGGATGCGGCGCTGGAATGGTGGGAGGACGTGTTGCGCCTCAACCTGGCGCAGACGCGCGGCTTCGCGCAGGCGCCAGCAGCTCCCGCGTGGCTTTTCGTGGATGCGCGGAGCACGCCGGCGAGGGTCGCGGCTGTGCTCGTGGCCGATGGGCGTGCGTGGTACTCCGACGTGGAGCCGCCCGAGCGCTTCCTGCGGCACTTTCGGCCGCGCGGGGGCGGGCAGATCACATCGCTCGAATTGCTGTCTATCGCCTTTGCCCTCTGCACCTTCGGCAGCATACTTCAGGGCTAGCACATTTGGTTGTTTCCCGACAATTCGGGCGCCGAGTGCGGGACGCGCCGTGGACCGGCGCGTGCGTGGCCAAGCTGTCCGCGCGCGCGGCCAAGCTGTCCGCGCAGCTCTGGGTCGACCGAGTGCCTTCCGCAGAGAACATTGCGGATCCGCCTTCTAGGGAGGCGTATGGCCTGATGCGTGCGATCGGGGCCGTGCGGGTGGCACCGGCGCTCGACGAGGAGCTGGCCACGCCCGGCGCGTGGCGCAGTTTGCGAATGGGCTAGTTAGCGGGGCGGCGCGTGCGTCCGCAGCTTGCGGCGGGCCCGTGCCGCGCGTCCTCGCGCGCGCCTCAAAGGTCGCGCGTAAGCAGCGCGCAGCGGACGTCATGGCATCGTTGTCCACGCAATTGCGGGGTGTTTTCCCCGCGGCGCCGTCTTCGTTGATCGCAGAATTGGAGGCCGTGCTGGCGCGCAACGGCGCATGGTCACCGTGGGACGTGAAGCCGGCGCACGCGGCGGCGCCGACGAATGGCTGGAGTGGCTTTGCCGAAGCAAGCGAGGAATGCAGGCAGTCAATCCAATGGCTGGCGCGTGCCCAACGGCCCAGGCCGCCTTCGGCGCCGCCGCCCGGGCACCGCGGGCGGCTTCTGGTTTCCAGGGCGGGGCTCCGCGCGCGCGTCGTCGGCAGGTACCATTCAGCAGCAGCGTCTGGCGCGCGGGCGCCCGCGCGGCTCGTCGCCCGCGGGTCTGCGGCGGCCGCAGCACGGCAGCCGGTTGTCGTGAGCGCGGGCAGGCAGCGCAGCCGCTCGCCGGAGCGCGTGCGCCAAAAGGGGCGACGCGAACGCAGTGTCAGCAGTTCTTGTAGTTCAGGCTCGCCCTCTAGCGCCAGCAAAGCGCGGCCCCGGCCATCGCTGGCGGCAGTGCTGGCCGCGATCGACCGCGCAGGCAGTGCGCCAATCGAGGCTCCCACAGACGGGCCCAAGGCGACGATCGCCGCGCTGCAACGGTCTATCGTGTCGCCGGGCGGTAGGGCACTTTGGCGCAGACAGGCGCGCGCCCAGGTTGCGCTCGCGTGCACGAAGCGCACCGCGGCCGATATTAAAACAGCGGTGCGGCGCTGGGTCGAATTTTGCGCATTTGCTGGCGGTGGCCAGGCTCGCTGCTTCCCCGTCGCAGAGGCGCAGCTCCTGCAGTTCAGCCTGCGTTTTCGCTGCTCGGGCACATTCGCCGACGTATGCTCGCACCTGTGCACTGTGTCGTCGCTGCTCCAGTGGAACGCGAGCGCGTTCCGAGGGCGCGCGGTAAGGCGGGCCCGCGCGGCCATCGAGCGCCGATGCGCGACGCCACGCCGGCCTCCGCGGTTCATGCAGTTGCCGGCCCTCAAGCGCATGGCCCGAGAGCCAGCGGGCGCCAGCGCGAGCGCGGGCTGGCACGCGCTCTTCGTGATCAGTTACCACTTTCTCTTGCGTCCCCAGCGAAGGGATGCCCCTGGCGTGGGGCGGCGCGGGCGATTTCCCTGCTGCACAGACGCCGGTAGCTGTCTGCGGCGACCGCGCAGTGGGCATCCGCCTCCCCGCGCGGAAAAACAGGCCGCGGGGGGGCGCGATATGGCGTGCATGCGCCTGCGCCGAATGTGGCGAAGGCGCGTGCCCAGTGCGCAGCGCGGGGCCCTTCTGACGGCTCTGCCCGTGGGGGCTGCGCCGTGGGCGGCCGCGTCGCCAGCGCAAATGCGGCGCGCCCTGCGGGCGGCCCTGTCCGCCGCCGGGTTGGCGAACGCGGAGGCTTTCGGTTCGCGCGACTTGCGCGGGGGCCGCGCGAGGGACCTTCTTCTGGGCGGGAAATCGCTCGAGGAGATCGCCGCGCTGGGCGAATGGCGCTCGCTCATGGTCATTTTTAAGCATTGCACTCACTTCCCCGCGGTTCAACAGGAGGTGGCTTTGTCGGAGCACCTCGCTGAGAGCGGTTCGGTTTCCGACGCGCCGGCCATGGGCGGCAACGTATAAGTCCATGCGCCATCGCACGCCGTGCCCCGCCTGCGCGTTGCGTTGGGTGAAGCGAAGCGTGCCCGCGGCGCGCGGCCGCGCCTTGCGTGCGCGTTTCATTGGGTGCGGTGCGCCCGCCAGGCGCGGCACGCACGCCTTGTCGCTCGCGGCGTAGCGCGAGGCGGCGGGCGAGGCGTGCTGCGCGCGGCGCACCCGTCGACGGGGTGCCCGCAGTCGAGAGCGTGTCCTCACGGCCCGCTGGCTCTCTCGTCCGTCTCGTCGCTACGTCGGCGGCGATGCCTCGCGGGGTAGCGTCGACGAGGGGCGAATCGTGCGCAGTCACGGGGCGACGCGACGCGCGACCCCCGAGCGCACCCCGCGGCAGGTACGCGGGGAGAGAGGGGGCTGCGCGTTGCGTTGGGGCTTTCCCCCGCCCGCCCACTCGCGTGTGTCCGCGCACGCTGCGCGTCGCGCTTCTCGGGTGCGGCGCGCCCGCCAGGCGCGGCAGGCGCGCCCTGTCGCTCGCGGCGTAGCGCGAGGCGGCGGGCGAGGCGTGCTGCGCGCGGCACACCCATCGACGGGGTGCCCGCAGTCGAGAGCGTGTCCTCACGGCCCGCTGGCTCTCTCGTCCGTCTCGTCGCTATGTCGGCGGCGATGCCTCGTGGTCGCTCCTTGGGTGTTCGTCGCTGCAGTTCGCATTCGGGTCCTGCGTGATCGCATCTTGGTCGCTGTAGTTCATATTCGGCCTCTGGTCGATCGTATCTTGGTCGCTGTAGTTCGTATTCGGACTCTGGTCGATCGCATCGGATATGACCACGATGATGGATGCGTGTACCTGCGCCCGTGCTGAAGCTTGGCAGGTGCCTTGCAGTCCTTGGCGATGTGCCCGTAGCCGCCGCGCCTCAAACACATGGTGTTCGGGTCTGTCTTCCACGAGTCCTTGTCCTTCTTGACATGATGGTGGCTGCTGGCGGAACTCGGTGGGCCACGCGTCGAAGCCTGAGACCCAGACCCCTTGCCGGGTGCCACGAACTTCTTCGTGCCGAAAAACTTGCGGTTCGTCTTCTTCTGACGGATCAGCTCTCGAGCCTGCATGAAGGAGCGTTGCCCGTGCTGAGCTGCCGCGTAAACTGCGCCCTCGAGCATTTCCATCTTCAGCTCCTCGTCGTCTCCCGCTTGGTCCACGATCTCCTGGAGCGTCGCGCCGATATCGTCATCCTCGGCAGCCGCCAGCACACTCTGTGAGGCAGCGTCTTGGAGTAGCTCTGTGAGTCCATCATCATCTTGATCTTCGTCATCCTCATCATGGTCGTCGTCGCCCTCGGCCAGGTAGTTCTTCTGGCGGTGCTGCCAGCGGTTCTGGTACTGCTTGTGGCCGCTGTCATGCTCATGCTTCTTGTCGAACTGCACGCCGAGGGTCTGTTGGATCAGCTGGTACCCGTATATGTTCTGCACCGAAGCCAACACCTGCGAACGCTCGTGATTTTTGAGGCCCACATTCTCGAGTAGAAACCATGCAGAAAAAATGTTGTCTTCTCGTCGAAGCCTGCGTCGATCAGCTTGATCGCCTTACGCATTCTGTCCTCTTCGACCTCGGACTGCGTAAAATACTCGCATCTGTGTCCTCGGCTTCCCGTGCGCTTCCTTCATGAATGATCTTACAATTTGCCAGCGTCCTCCACCTCAGGGATGCCACTCTTCCCCTTGAGGTATCTGGGCAGCTGGCTGACTCCCTTGAGCAACTTCGTCGTCGCGTTCTCCGTGACATCATCGAGGGAGTCCATCTGGTCATACTTCTGTACACCCTGCCATGCGCGGCCATGGAGCTTCGACATCAGCCTCGGGCCGCAAAGACCCTTTTCGTCCTTCTTGATGCCGTGCACGTAGAGGTGGACCCGCGTCACATACGAGTCGAAACTGGCAACGTCGCCCTCCCAGGATGGGACTGTCTCCGACTTCTCATTCTCCGTCGTCATGACGCGCGGGTCCGTGGAGCCAGACCGGCTCCGCTACCAACTAGATTGTCGGCGTTGGCGAGCAGTCTCGGTATCTCGATATCGTTCTCGTCGGGTGTAGCAATACTGATTATCACGAGCATATGTCCTTTTCCTCCACAGCTTGCCAGCGTCGATGATCTGAAAAGATATCTTGGACATACAGAGGTGTGCTCAAGCACGCCGTTGCCAAAATCGGCAGGTCCGGTAGCACTTGGACTCAAGGGCGCTCTCGAGCCACAACACCAGCGGAGGGGAGTTAGGCATCGAGAGGGCACAGGTCGGATGGGCTAGGAAATTGCATAGAACTCAAGGGGGGCCCGATCCCAACAGCACTGAAGGGGGGGTGGGGTGGACCGGAACCCTGGATCATAGATCTCCACCTGGGCGGGCAAGTCGGTCAGGGTGGCCAGGGCCACTCCAGTGATGATGGGCATCGTCTTGGCCTGCTTTTCTTTGTCGTCCCGTCCCGTTGTCCGAAGAAAGGCTGCGGTGGCCCGCACTGCCACGTTGGCGCATCGCCGGGCGTGGGGCCCGTCGTGTACTTGTTCTTGTTTGCGACGCGAGCCTCCACGAGGCTTTCTCGTCGCCACGCCTGGGCATCGGCTAAACGCTCTGCTTCTGCGCTCGCTTCTGCTCCAGCCCCACTCCTAGGGACGGCCGCCAGGAGCGGCGCGCGCGCGGCAGCCTCGCGCGCGGGCGCTCCGCCTGCGGCAGGCCCGTCGGCTTTTCGGAAATTGGGGGAGAGAGAACGCTGTATATTCTGGATGGGGCACTTGTCAAGGGGTGGCCCCCCCAATCCCTTCTCCTCCTCCCGCTTCTCATTCCTCCCTCCCTCCTCCTCTTCCTGCTCCTCCTCCTCCTCCTCCTCCTCCTCCTCCCCTCCCTCCTCCTTTCCTCCTCCTCCCTCTGACGTAGCTTGCCCATCCCCTTCCCCCTATTCCTCCTTCTCCTCCTCCTCCTTGTCGTCCTCCTCCTCCTCCTCCGCCTCCCTTCCCTCTCCTCTTGCTCCAACCCCTCCTCCACCGGTTTTGACAGCACGTGTCCCCCGTTTTGACAGCACGTGCCCCCCCCATCCGCGGATCCAAAGGGGGGCGGTTATATGGTCTCACCTCGAGTAAACGTTGCACTGTGATGGTGTTTCACTTTCGCGGGTTTAGGTTTAGCTACTAGTTCATTCCAGTGACGGACAGGAATCAGGAGTCACGGACACTTGGTCCGTTACTGGCTGGGCTCAAGGCTAAAAGGCATTTGTGACATCTTGCTGCTGCCACAGTTGGCAGCGGAGCGGGGCTAGCCATGGCCGGCGCGGGTGTGGGAGACTGCGGCTGGTGAGAGCCGGCATCAGCTCGACGCTCCAGCGGCTGTGCTGGTTCCGTTCTACGTGGCGGACACTGTGGGATCCACGGCAAAGGCTGGAATGCCGGCAGACGACGAGGCGGCATATGCAGTGCTGGGCTCCGCCAAGACCCCAAGCGGAGGGACATCGTCAGGGGCACTGAGCGGGGCGGCGCCAGCGGTTCAACCCGCAGGGGAGGAGCTCTCTGCCCAGGTGCAGGAGCTCGTGAAGAAGATTATCGGCGGGCGCGCAGCACCAAGCGGGAGCAGTGCCGAGACGCACGGCGCCAAGGGCGTCGACCCATGGAGCAACTCCGACCCTTGGCAGACCGACTGGGCCAGCATCGAGGTCAGACAGCAGAACGACGAGAGCTGGACGGCCGGAGGCAACAAGGGCTGGGCCGTCGGTTGGTCCAGCAGCGAAGCCAAGTGGCGACGCGACGCTAGCTGGAACACGGACGGCGACCTGAATTGGGACGGCGGCCGTTGGCAGGACCGTCTTGGGTGGCAGCAGGACAACTGGAGTTTCTCTGATGGGTGGAAGACTTGGCAGGCATCGACGATTCGGGGAGATTGCACGGGTCCGCCAGCCTGGCCAGGCTGGACACATTATCGGCACCGGAAGAAGTCAGTGCAGCAAACTCCTCGAGCTGTTCGACTGGGCCATGCAGTCCAAGTTTGAGAACACCCCTACGCCACCCTGAACGGTCATCAGTGGTTAGATGTGGTGCTTCAGAGGATGGACCTCATGAGCGGCGAGCGTGAAGGCGACGAGCTACGCAGAGTCGGTCGACGGGCACTGTATGAAGGGGCTTGAGAGAACAAAGAGTCGCTGACGCAGTACGTAGCTCGACGTGACTTACATTTTCAGGAGGCTGAAAGTAGACCTTTGGCTTTCCGAGAAGCTCAAGGGACTGATGTTCGAGGAAGGGGCGGGCCTGTCGGTATAGGGGCAGCGGAAAATGAGGACGCTGACCCAGGGCAGTCTCCAGTACAGACAGGTCTCTTGGGCTTTGACATGGATTTCGGCGGCACTGACCGACTGATGCCGGGCAGGTCCACGTCTCGCACGGTGAGTGCCGCAGAAGGCGGTCTCGCCGGCGAGAGCTCAGATCACCCTCCTCCTCCTCCTCCTCCTCCTCCTCCTCCTCCTCCTCCTCCTCTAACCTTCGATGCCTTGGAGTCCAATCTCGACGATCAGCAGGGCGAGGCATCATCCGATGAAGACGAGTCGGACGGTGGAGATCTGACCGAGGAGGATGTCTTGGCCATTTTGGCGGGGATAGAAGACTTAGAGCTGTGGCCGCGCTCGAGGCTGGCCCGTCTCGTCCACGTTCGTGGACTCAATTGACGTCAGGATGTCTCGGGCCTGCTTTCGACCACCCTCCTTGCCCCCTCCGCTGGTTTCTGGCGGCCACTCCCGCTCCGACGTCCGCCCTCTCCTCCTCCTCCTTCCTGACCGCCTCCCCTGCCCTCCTCTGCAATTCCCTGCCTCGTTCTTTTTGCTCTGCCCCGTTAGGCTTTGCAGCCCCGGCAGGCCCCTTGCAGGACTCTCTTGCCATCTGGCCCGACATGTTCGTGGCCTGCGCCTCCATCTACGGTGGCCTCGCCTGGGACTACGTCGACGCGTTTCACGTCGAGCTCCCCGGGGCCCTGGAGAAGCACGTGGCGCTCCTCGCCGAGCTGGGCCTCCACGCCGACGCAGACCGGGAGCGCCCGACTCAGATCATGGACGAGGCCATCTTCACGCTAGCGGCGATCATCACCATCCTCGACACTCGTCGGCGCGACCACCGTGGAGACGTGGAACCAAATCCCAGCTCGAAGCTTCGTTGCCCCAAGTTTCGAGATTCACGGTCGATGATCCCACCGTCCCAACCGTTCCACCTTTCGATCCCCCCCTGCCCTCAAGAGTGGGCTACCACTGCGGAAACCGCCGCGACCACCCTTGCCCACCCCCGCCCGCCCGCCCGTCCTGTGATCCCTTCTCCTGCCCCCCACTGCTCCTTCCCGCATCGTACTTTTGGGTCTGACCCCCTGGATTTTGTGTCCTCTGCAGGCCCCCTTCGGGATTTTGCTGCGAGCTCATCCGACGTCCTCGTGCTCAGCGCCTTCCGCATGCCCGGCCACGACGACGGCGTCGCCACCGACAGCGCCGGCGCGCATACGCTGGGGAATGCCATCCTCGCCGTGCCCCCGCTGCACGACTCTGGCCGCGTCCACGGCATCGTCGCGGACTCCTCTGACGGCGCCGCGAACGCGATAGCCGCGGGGCCCGTGCTCGAGGGTCACGCCCTGTTGCTCAGCACGCTGCGCCTCAGCGCTGATGGCTCCTTCGCGGGCGGCATCGCGACGCATTGGGCAAGCGCGCATCTGACTTGGCACCGCGAGCCTCACTCTGAGCTCCACGCGGCCTTGGACGAGCACCCCGCGTTCCTCATCGAGATGGTCCTCAAACCCATGTCGCACTGCGTGCGCGCGACCCGGTTCTTTCTCCTGATCTTCGACGCGCCGTGCCCGCACGTGACCGCCCTGGCCACGATGCAGATCGAGACCTCCAGCTCGCTGGGCATGCAGATGGTCGTCTTGATGGGGCCGTCGCTGCACGCCTCTACCCGCGTCGCCGGCATCATCGTGGATTCCGTCGTCGTGGACTTCAGCAGCATCGAGTGTGACGCGATGCCCGTGCACGAGGGTTACGCGGCCCACCTCGCAACCCCGATCTTCGACGTGATAGGCTCCGTCGTGCCGTGCATCGCGATCGACGCTGTGGACGCGCGGGTCTTCAGGCATCACGTGTTCCACGCCGGGCCGTGCGAGGCTCCGTGGGGCCGCGCACTCCTGAACCGCCGTTCCGACGTGCACGCCAGCGACTGCAGCCGCCGCGACGCTGCGACGCGGGGTCCCGACCCGGAGCGTCGCGCTCAGCGGCGTCGCGAAGGTCCAGTTTCGGAAGCTGCCAACATCGTCATAGGGGGGCGTGCCCTCCAAGCTCACCCGCCCACGCGGTCAGTGGGGCCGGCGGATCTCTTCTACCTCCGCCACGTGCGCAGCTGCGCAGCTACAGCTTCATCGACGCGTTCCTCGTCTTCGAGCCCTTGCTCCCCCGCCCCGGCCGACCTGCTCCAGCAGCTCTTGCGCGTGATGCCAGTCTCGCTCGTCAACGCGCTGGCCATCGGGTACCCGGTGCTGGTCCACGCCGTTCCCACGCATACGTTGCACGTGATCTTGGGGCCGCTGCTCCCCGCGCGCACCTTTCCGTGCATTGTCGTCGCGGTCGCAGGTTTTTCGCTTAACCCTCTGCGCATCCTGTCGCTCGGCGCCGCCGTGCACGGCCTTCCAGTGCAACGTGTGCTCGCGTGTTTGTGCGCCGCCGCGCTGGCCGAGCGTCTCCACTTCGCGCGACCCGTGTGCGTCGCGATCACGCTCTGGGCCATTTGCCTTCTCAGCTCCGTGTGGCACGGCGTCCCGACCTCCTGGTTGGCGGTCTGCGGACAAGCCCCTGATCGCCAGGGCCGTCTTCACGCCAGCCTTCCCCGCTGAGGCGCTGGCCACCAGCAGGGGCCCAAGACGAACGCCCCACACGTCCAACATCACAGTGCGCAACACGTTTGTCGACATTTGCGATGGCACGGGGGCCCGAG